TAGTTTTAGGAATGTTATTTTAATACAGTAAAAAATAAAAGGAGATGACTTGGGAGGTTAAGACAGAAGGATCACAAATTCAAGGCCAACCTCAGCAACTTACCGAAGCCATAAGCAACTTAGTGAGACCCTGTCTCAAAAAATAAAAAGGACTAGGGAGTAGGTCAGTGGTAAGGTGCCCCTGGGCAATACCAAAATAATTTTTTAAAAAGTAAAAGGTGTAAGGCAGTTGTTCTAAACGGAGAATAATTTTGGCCTCCTCCCTGCTGCCACCCACCTCTCTACCTTTGGCAATGTCTAGAAATATTTTTGGTTGTTACAATTTGGGGGAGGGGTGCTACTTGGAACTAGTAAATGGAGACCAGAAATACTGCTAAACATTTTACAGTGCACAGAATGCCCCCCCCCCAGCACAGTATTATTCAGTCTAAAATATTAATGGTGCTGAGATTGAGAATCCCAAGAAATTATGATTCGGTTGAAGGCCTAGTGGTGAGGAGGAAAGCATAAGAATAGTGCCAGCTTAACAATCTTTAGGATGTTCAGAAGCATCATAGGTTTTTTTGCACTAAATTGAAATTAGTTTAAAATATGAGTGTCTTAAAAAATCTCAATGGAAATGGATAGCTTAATTATTTTAAAATTTAAATCTGAAAAATTATATCTAAGAAAAGTTCACATCAATGTGTGTTAAAAAAGTAATTTTTAGCTATAGTTATATATGAAGTGTCTTGCAAAGTGACTGTAGAATGTAGTTGTAATTTAAGAATAGTTTTATTTCCTTGTACTAAGTACCTCATGATTTTTCTGTAGTGGTTGATTTGATGAATTTAAATTATTGCCATAAAAGAATATTCTGCTTTGTGAATTTATGAAATTGAATTGAAGTTTGTGATTTACTAAGTATGAGTTATTATAATTCATTTAAAGATAAGAAAGAATGGATTAGAACAAATTATTTTAACAAATAATATTAAATTACTTAGAATGTTAACTAACTATACCCTTGGAAAGTTTAATAACATCAACCTTTCTTTTTTTAGTTCAACAGAAATAGATGATATGCTTAGAAAATCAACAAATCTGCTGCTGACCAGAACTTTGAATAGCTGTTTATTGAACCTTATTAGAAAGCCCCATATAGGTTTGACAGAGGTAGGTTAAGAAGACATATACAACCAAATAGTTTTTTATATGAAAAAATTTATAGATTATTGCTGAACATCATAATATAAAACTGGCTTGGTATTTTATTTATTTGTTCTTTCTTAGATATACGTGACTGTAGAGAGCATTTTGACATATTATACATACATGGAAAATAATTTATTTTAATTAGGATCTCATTATTGTGGTTGTACTTGATAATGGAGTTTCACTGGTAGTGTATGTATATATGAACATAGGAAAGTTATCTCAGATTCATTCTACTGTCTTTTCTAATCCCATCCTCTCTCCCTTTCCTTCATTCCCTTTTATCTAATCCAATGTGCATCTTCTCATGTTTTCATTTATTTACATCAGAAATAAAGGAAATGTGAGAAAATGCATTTAAATATCTCATTGCCAGTCTTTACATGGAGGATCAAAATTCTCAATCCTCATGTTTTTTTACTTATTTAATGTATGAGATTGGAAAAGTACTATGGAAAGCTATTTTAAAATTATTGGCAGTTGGATTCTTGGTGTATCCATATATATTTTTTAATGATGTTAGCAGTATTTGCATCAGGCTTTTAACATCAGATAATCAGTTGTTTCCTGTGTTGCTATAATTATGCAGAAATGGTACAGTGTCTGGAAGTAATAATGCTGTTTTAAAAAATCAGATAGTTTTGCATATGTGTAAATTGCATTTTACTGTATATATATAT